CTTGAACCACAGGCGCTGAGCCTTGGTTTTCTTCTTGACCTATCAGTTACTAAGAGGTATGCTATTTTTTAATTTCAGAAAAGCTTTCCATACGTCTTTCTGTTACTGATTTCCAATTTTATTTCATTGTAATCAAAGAACATTTTTTGAATTACTTGATTCTTTTAAAATTTGTTGGAATATTTATAACACACCCAATAGGAATCTGGGGTTGTGATGAGGGGGATAAAACTTGTGGCTTCCCTATAAACAAATTCTCTACATGTGAAGAAAAAGAAAAAAAAATTATAACAAGTATGTGGTAGGTGTATGGGTGATCACTTTTAACTGAGCTGTATGTTTGAAAAATTGCCTAATAAAATATTGCAAAATTTAAAAAATTTATTGGAACTTGTTTCGTGGCACACAATATGTTTTATCTTGTAAATGTTCTGCATGTACTTAAAAAGAAATGTGTGTATTCTCTTGTTGGGTAGAACAGTCTGTAACTGTCAATTGGGTTAAGTAGGTTGATAGCATTGTTCAAGTCTTCTAATATCCTTCCTGATTTTTTATTTGTACTATCTATTTTTAAGAGTGGGGGTGCTGAAATTATTGAAATAATGTATTTGCATATTTTTCTTTGTAGTTTTTACTTTGCATATTTTGAAGTGCATGTGCATAAACATTTAGGACTGTAGAGAAAGGATTTTTTTCTTTAATAGAGGTAGGTCAATTGTTCTCCACAGGAAAAAGAAAAAGCTCTTTAACTTTATATTACATTTAAAAAAATTCAGATGGATGAGAAAGGAATAACCATAAAGCTTTAAGACGTGTGGTAGCAAAAAATTTCATTAAAATGTTATAAAAGTAATGTATCATAAAAGCAAATCTGATAAATTAGAATACATTAAAGTTAAACACATTCACTGAAAGAATAAAAACGTGAGAGAGCAAGATGCCTAGCGTTAGAATACCTGCAAATCACACATTTAACAAAGAATTTGTATCCGAAGTATATAAACATACCAACAAATCAATTGACAAAAGGCAGGTAATCCAAAGATAATTCATTTACAAATGAACAAAAGATCTGAGCAGGCACTTCACAAAAGATAGTTTCTTAATGGCTAACAAGCATGTGAAAAGTCAACATTATCCCTCACTAGAGCAATAGAAATGAAAACTACTACATAGCCAAGAGAATGGTTAAATGAAAAGCAATGGCAGTGTTAGCAAGGATGCAGCACAAACCTATAAATCTTATGTTATTGATGGGAGTATAAATTGGTTCCAAAGCTTTGTAAAATTGTTTGCCATAACCACTACAGTTAAAAATGCATCTTTCCTACAACTCTGCAAGTCCATTGCTAGGTATATGCCCCAAAGAAAAGAGAGTATATGTCCATCAAAGGATGTATAAGACTTGCTGATAAAAGCCAAAAGCTAGGAACAACCAAATGTCTATCAAAAGGAGAAGAGAGAAACAAACTGAAATCACACCGTGCAATGGTAGCAGGGGTGTCCATCTTTTTTCTCTGCTGCACCTTAGAGGAAGAGTTGTCTGGGGCCACACATTACACATACAAACACTAATAGAAGCTGAGTAGCAAGAAGAAAGGTCATGCATACTTTTCTTGGTATCTTACACCACAGAAAGGCAAAATAGTCCTCAAATAATCTGCATGTGGCCCACAGCCTACAGGTTGCACACTGCTGGACATCAATAAGAAATAATAACTGCTGTGGGTGGTGCCTGTGGCTCAAAGGAGTAGGGCACCAGCCCCATATGCCGGAGGTGGCAGGTTCAAACCCAGCCCCAACACCCCCCCCAAAAAATACATTAAAAAATAAAAAATAAATTAAAAAAGAAAATAAGAATAACTGTGGGCTTGGCACCCATAGCACAGTGGTTACGGCACCAGCCACATACACGGAGGCTGGTAGGTTCAAACCCGGCCTGGGCTGGCTAAAACAACAATGACAACTACAACAAAAAATAGCCTGGCGTTGTGGCAGGCACCTGTAGTCCCCAACTACTTGGGAGTCTGAGGCAAGAGAACTGCTTAAGCCCAAGAATTGGCGGTTGCTGTGAGCTGTGATGCCACAACACTCTACCAAGGGTGACATAGTAGAACTCTGTCTCTTCCCCCAAAAAAGAAAGAAAGAATAACTATAGCTCAGCGCCCATAGCTCAGTGAGTTAGGGCACTGGCCACATACACTGAGGCTGGCGGGTTTGAGCCCAGCCTGGGCCTGCTAAATGACAATGACAACTGCAACCAAAAAACAGCTGGGCTGTTGTGGCAGGCACCTGTAGTCCCAGCTACTCAGGAGGCTAAGGCAAGAGAATCGCTTAAGCCCAAGAGTTGGAGGTTGCTGTGAGCTGTGATGCCACCACACTCTACAAAACTCTGTCCCCAAAAAAGAAAGAAAAAAATTATCAGAAAGCTTTCAGATGGAAAACATTTCTGAACACAGATGGATCAAAAATAAATTAAGCACAAAAATCCAGACCAAAAGAAGAAGAGTATATTCCTTATGATTCTATTTATATAAATTTCCAAAATAGGTAAAATTTATTTCTGGTAACAGATGCAAGAACAGTAGTTATTTACAGGAGCGGGGAAAGGTAGGTGTTGAATGGGAAAGATTATGAGGGAAACTTCAGTAGTGAAAGTTTAAGTTTAATTTGGGCTGTGTCTACATGAGTTACACAAATGTAAAAATTCACCAAGTGGCACATAAAATATTTGTGAATTTTATTACACATGGAAAAGGGGGGAGCCATAAATAGGAGTAAGAAGAAAAGCAACAGAGTGGTGATACAGATGCATGAGACAAAGAAATTACATCCAGAATATATAAGGAATGCCAAAAAAAAATCCATAACAAAAAGCACACAACCCAATAGAAAAAAGGCCAAAAGATTTAAACAGGTGTTTTACAAAAAAGGATATCTATCACAACAATCAAATCAAAACCTTTAGAATGAAGAAATACAACCTTTAGAATGAAAAAAGATATTTGAATGTTATAAATCTGACAAAGGTTCGATAATTAGAATCTATAGAGAACTCTAACAAAAAAAGAACAAACAATTCCATCTATCACTGAATAAAAGACATGAACAGAACCTTCTCTGAGGAAGACAGACAAATGACTAACAAACATATGAAAAAATGCTCATTGTCCCTAACCATCAGAGAAATGCAAATCAAAACCACTCTGCGTGGTTCAGCACCTGTGGCTCAAGTGGCTAAGGCGCCAGCCACATACACCTAAGGTGGCAGGTTTGAATCCAGCCAGACCCGCCAAACAACAACGATGGCTGCAACCAAAAAATAGCCGGGCGTTGTGGCGGGCGCCTGTGGTCCCAGCTACTTGGGAGGCTGAGGCAGGAGACTCGCTTGAGCCCAGGAGCTGGAGGTTGCTGTGAGCTGCGAAGCCATGGTACTCTACCCAGGGGGATAGCTTGAGGCTCTGTCTCAAAAACAAACAAACAAACAAAAAAAAACACCCTGTGATATCACCTAACCCAGTGGTTCTCAACCTTCCTAATGCTGTGACCCTTTAATACAGTTCCTCATGTTGTGGTGACCCCCAACCATAAAATTATTTTCACTGCTACTTCATAACTATAATTTTGCTACTGTTATGAATTGTAATGTAAATATCTGATATGTAGGAGACCCCCCAAAGGGGTCGCGACCCACAGGTTGAGAACCACTGACCTAACCCCAAGGGGAATAGCCCACATCACAAAGTCCCAAAGCTGCAGATGTTGGCAAGGATAGAGAGAGAAGGGAACGCTTCGTTACACTGTTGGTAGGACTGCAAACTAATACAGCCTCTTTGGAAAGAAGTATAGAGAATCCTCAAAGAACTCAAAATAGACCTTCCATTTAATACTGCAATCCTATTACTAGGCACCTACCCAGAAGGAAAAAATCACATTATTGTATTATCATAAGGACATATGCATTAGATTGTTTATTACAGGCCAATTTACAATCACCAAAATGTGTAAACAACCTAAATGTCCACCAAATCAGGAATAGGATAATAAACTGTAGTATATGTATACCATGGAATACTATTCAGTCGTAAAAAAGACGGAGACTTTACATTTTTGTATTAACCTGGATGGAGCTGAAGCACATTCTTCTCAGTAAAGTATCACAAGAATGGTAAAACAAATATCCAATGTTCTTAATACTAATATGAAGCCAGCAGATGATCTAATACATGCCCACATGTGAGAAAAACTCAACTCAATTCAAGTTGGGGGGAGGGGAAGTGAGGGTGGGGGCGAGGGAGGGTGTCCTCCACTTAATGTGCACAATATCAGGGGTATATGGCACACCTCTTGGGTGCAGGACACAGCTCCCAGCACCTAACAAATGCAAACATTGTAACCTAGTTGTTTGTACCCTCACATTACCTGAAATAATTTTTAAAAAGGATAACAGAATGCTCAATAAACATATGAAAGATGCTCAGCTGTCATGGTCACCATAGAAATGCAAATTAAAACCACAGGGTGATGCCACTACACACCAATCAGAACGGCAAAAATAAAAAAAGAGGACTAAGCCAAATACTGGTAAAAAGGTGGGAAAACTCAGTGCTGATGGGTTTAATTACTTTAGAAAACTGATTTATCTTCTAAAGTACAATACAGTAGATATTTTTATTCATAATAAGTAAACGTTAACATATCATTTCAAAAAGTAATTTTTGCCAAGATTAAGATTAATCTATCTTTTATTATCTTTCTTAGCTCCAGAGTAATGAAATTTTTAAAATCACAAATTGTTTCAAGAGCAGTATAATCCCTTTAGATGTATTGCTGGCCTAAAAAAAAAACATTTTATCACTTTTAATATTTTGGTAAATAACTGAGGCCAGAATATTGAGACAAATAATACTTTATCAATAATTTTTTTCACAATTACCAACAGACTGTGTGCCCTCAGGGACAGGCTAGCGAAAAGCCTGGCCAAGTGCCAACAGCTTCACCTTTTTGCTGAGATTCATGTTCTCCATCTTAGCCTTCAGTAGCTTCATCTTGTTCATAGTTATTGAATTTTCAATTATCTGCTGCCCAGAAGGAGAAGGCTCAATTTCTTCATCCTCATCCGTATATAAATTATACACAGAGCCACCACTGCAAAGGAAATGATAACTACTTGAAATCGGCTCGATGTCTGCTTAGCAGACTAAAAATACTCTATAGACTACAGCAATCGATACATGTTGCTGATGATAAAACACCAAATCTCTTTTGTCGATATAAATGCAAAGAAAATATATTTCAATACATGTACTTCTTACAAGAAAAAAATTAAATGGGAATTAATATCACAATCTAGTGTTACTGAAATCTAGTATAGCTGAACCTCTCTAAATTCAGTGTATCATGAATGAAGATCTTTTGGCACCTGCTATATCATTTCCACAAGAATGTTCTAATTTCATTTTATTGACTAATGCTGATGATTGTGCAAAAATTTCCATGAATTAAAATCAATATAAACATTGGCACAGAAAAGAAGTACAGATTTTTATTTATCCTACGGGGATTCTTACCAAACAAAATAATTCATAAACAAGTATCATCAGAGCATTTTCTGTTCTTACAGAACAAAAATAAATTTTTAAACATTAGGGTAACAAAATTTTTCTAAGTGTGTTTGAAAATGTAACCACCTAGAACAGAATAGATTGTAACATGGAAAAAGATACCCAGTCACGTCATGAAACAAATTATGTTAAACATTTCAATTACTGATCAACCCATCATGACAATAATATATGGAACCCCTCTTCTTTGATCACATAATATGATGACATATAACTTTATCTTCATATTTACACTTACTTATATGTCTATCTGTCCCCCTTGTTCCCCCATATGTAAGCAAATAGAAAGCAGATATTTGGCTTTATCAAATTCCCAGTGTTTACACATGGCACAGTGCTTAGCACCTATCCAATTGTTTGATATGCTGAATACAAGCATATTGAAGATCCATTTATCTTTTCAATAGTGGGAATATTAGAATGGTTAGGATTTGAAAAAAAACACAAGCTCAGCATATGTGGAAAATGATTAAAACTTTATTTTGTGTTTTGTAGAGACGGGGTCTCGCCTTGTTACCCAGGCTGGTCTTGAACTCTTGGCCTCAAGCGATCCTCCCGCCTTGGCCTCCCAAAGTGCTGGGATTACAGATGTGAGCCACCACACCCAGCCTAAAACGTTAACTAGAGCAGAATAAGAATACATATTAGTCATAGTCTAGTTCGGGGGTAGAAAGAAATGGGGCAGGGAGACAACTGGCAGAAGGAGGGAGGGCATGAGGCAGGATCTCACCTAATGTGCACCCTTTGAGGGTGTATAACACACCCCCTGGGTGAGGGACTCTTTTACAAATGGAACTTGACCCTGGAAGTGAAAACAATGTAACCTAAAAATTGTACCCTCATATTAATTTGAAATAAAAAATAAATTTAAAAAATGTTTTAAAAAATAAATTAAAAGAAAAGCATACATATTAGTCACTGTGTCTGATTTTCTTGTAGGTAAACTAAAATGTGTAATCTATGAGGGTTAATAAAATTTCCTGTTCTGTGTGGTTATAAAAAATGGAAATCGGCTCAGCACCTGTGGCTCAAGTGGCTAAGGTGCCAACCACATACACCTAAAATGGCAGGTTCAAATCCAGCCCGGGTCCACCAAAACAATACCGGCTGCAACCAAAATAATATAGCTGGGTGTTGTGGCAGGCACCTGTGGTCCCAGCTACTTGGGAGGCTGAGGCAGGAGACTCACTTGAGCCCAGGAGTTGGAGGTTGCTGTGAGCTGTGATGCCACAGCACTCTACCCAGGGGGATAGCTTGAGGCTCTGTCTCAAAAAAAAAGGAAATTATTTAGGAGAGCTTTAATAAAGCACATCCACAATACTACTTTAGTATATACTACCACCAAATAAGGGCAGAAAAGAGAGTAGACAGCCCCATTCCCAAACTTTTATGGTGAAATGAAATTTTGAAATTGGCAAAGGTATCAGAAGGAAGACCGAAGGAAGTGGTCTCCGTAACTAGTTCAGTCTGCAGTGTTTGACTCAGGACTGTCACTGCTACCTACTGTAGATGCTTACCTATGATAATTGACAACTACAACCCTAAAGTAACAAAACTGTCTCCCATACAGGCATTTAGATGCCTCTTCTCCTAGGTTCTTTCCAACCATTACTCCTAATCCTCACAAAACTACATAAGGTAAATATTGTATTTCATTTTATAAATGAAGAAACTTGCAATTAAGAGAGGTTGCGTGATTTGACTCAAGACCCAAAAGCGATGATGGACCTAAGATTCATATCCCCCATCTGCCTAGTTCCAAAGCTGATTCTTCCTCCTGTTGCCTCCTATGCACCAAGTAACAGGCTTTACTGTGTTGTGCTTGTGCACCCACATGAGTGACAGAACTCATAGTATGTGCAGGCTTTTGTCTTGAGGTCAACTGAACAGCACCTGAAAAGGTGAGTTGCATAAAGATTTTTGTAATTTTACCCTGTGGAGTTAGAAGGACTGACTCAAGTATACTCTATTCTTAGTTACCTTGCAATATTTAAACTTTAAATACTTCTCTGGTCAACCAGTGGCATTTTAACTTGAAGCACATTTATTGAAAATAAAATGAAGTTTCTGCTCAACCTTACTGTCATGAGAAGACCAATTCTCCCATGGAATGTAAGTGTAAAAAGGAACAATCATGCAAATATTTCAGTGGGTGCATTTTAGAATATAAAACCCTTTTAAATTCACTTAGTTTTCTTCAAGGAACATTATTGTGATTTATCTCTCAAAGGAGAGATTCATGAGATCAGTTAGAAGCCAATCACATATATTTTTAGATGAGAAAATGTAACTAGGCTAAGATAACACTGTAATTTAATAAACGTAATCTAAAAATATATTTATATGCTAATATTTTCTTGAATGCTGTATATAACTTTCTCTAAATCTTTTAATGTAATAATATGCTTAAAGTGTAAGAGATAGGTGAATGTAGTATTTATTTCAACAAGAACTGTGTTCATCCCCAAACCAAGACCTCACATGATGTTCACAGATAATTTACCATTAAGTCTTGCAATATTTCTTTCTACTTAAAACACAGTAACATTGTTTGATCCACCAAAAGATCTGAGACTAAATTCCTCAGAAAAACAACCTGTAAAAAGTAAAAAAGAAAAAAAACAAAGATCTGAATCTAGAAAAGACTGATGCTGCATTACATATCCAAGTGAATCATACGAATCCCCAGCTCTTCCTGTTTCTTCTTAGAGATGGAGTAGGCCTAGACTTCTGAGCCACAGGAACTGTTCTCCAAGTAACAAGTTGGTTTTTCTTTGAATGGTTTTACCACTAGCTTTTTATTTTGTGTGGTTAACTTCCATTACCAAAAACACCTTTCCCCTCTTTGTCAGCTTGGCAAACTCCACTCCTCTTTTAAGCTTTACTGCTCAGAGACTGTTTCTAACTCGCCACCTTTCAGGCAAGATGAAGGCCTTCTCATCTGTTTTCCTAGAGATCTGGATATCTTCTTGTAACAATTACCAACATTATATCATAGTAACACACCAATGCCTTGCTTAGTGACCAGCACTAAAAGTTCAGTAAATATTTAATGTCTTAAAATGAAAGAAGATAAAGAATCATATTAAGTCAAAATGCACAGAAACTTAGAGGTCACCATGTCCAATTCTCTAATTTTTCTATTGCCCAGCTACATGTCTAGGATTTTTCCTTCTGATGATAGAAGTAATATTATAATTTATCCCCCTTTTTATAAAGTAGGAAAACAAGACCACGGAGATAAGGAGATTTATCCACCTTTAAGGAGTGAGTTAAATTTAGAAGAAAGATACCAATTTTAGGTGTATTTCTTTCTATTACACCAAGGTGCATTAATAATACAATATCATAACAAGACTCTACAATCTAACAGGCATCCTAAGATTTCATAAAGTAACAGAAACAAAATTTTTTTTAGAGCATCTCACTTTGTTGTCCTTGCTAAAGTGCCATGGCATCACAGCTCACAGCAACCTCAAACTCTTGGGCTCAAGCAATCCTCCTGCCTCAGTTTTTCATTTTTAGTAGAGACAGATGTCACACTCTTGCTAGGATGGTCTCAAACACGTGAGCTCAAGTGATCCACCCACCTTGGCCTCCAAAAGCACTAGGATTACAGGTTTGAGCCACCACGCCCAGCCTGAAACAAATTTTTCTTTAATGAAAAAATCCTGTTCTGCAAAGAAACTTATTTTAGAAGTTACCTGTCATATAAATCACATGAAGGATAATTTCAGATGGGAGGGTGGGGTAAGAAAGAGAGGCAAGAAATTTAGTCAGTGTGGTTAATATACTAAGATTATTTTGACATCACAAGGTAACGTAAAAGGTTGAGGCATATCATATGATGTTCTCTATTTCTAAGTGAAATACGCAAATGAAAACCAATTTACCTTAAAGATTCAGATAATGGTGTTAAAGTGCCATCTCCCCTATCTATTACACGAAAGAAATTCAATTGATCGCCTTCTCGATATACCAAAAATGTTACTTGTTTGTTGCAGGAGGACTTCTCCCAGACCTCATCACGAGTGGAATCCAGGTATTCAGCCATTTCCTTAAGTGGATCTTCCATAATAACTACAAATGGAAAAATTGATATATAGCTTTCAATTTATATCAGATTTTATCTTGGGACAGAAACAGGATGAATACATGTAATTCTTCAAATAAGTCTCTGACCTTTTTTCATAGTTAATATAGCATTATTATGTTGCTATGTTCAAAGACAGGGCTTAACCAAAACTTAAGGGATTTTTTCCCCTGGGCCACTAGAATCTGTATATTTACTGATTCTATGACATTATCATCTATGATTCTTTTCTTTTCTTCTTTTTTTTTTTTTTTTTTTGAGACAGAGTCTCACTCTTGCCCCAGGCTAGAGAGCCATGGCATCAGCCTAGCTCATAGCAACCTCAAACTCCTTGGCTCCTTGGCTCAAGCAAACCTCCTGTGTCAGCCTCCCTAGTAGAAGAGGCACCCACCACAGTGCCCGGCTAATTTTTTCTGTTTTAGTAGAGACTGGGTCTTACTCTTGCTGGTCTTGAACTATTGATCTTAGGCAACCCTCCCACCTTAGCCTCCCAGAATACTAGGATTACAGGAATGAGCTATGCCCAGCTTCTAGGATTATTTTCCTTATATACCTTCTGCTTCCTGTATTTTCAAATACTGGTTCTAACAATCAATAATTAAAAGTAAAGTAAATCCTACTTACTTTAGATTAAAAAATAAACACACATAGAATTGGGAGCCTTTCTTTTGCTTTCTAGTTTTATATAAAGACTGCTTCTTCTTAGAACTATTCTTTGATGTGAAGCTAATTAAAAGTACACAGTAACTCGAACACAAGGGGGCTCCTTAGTGTACTAAAATGTGTGAAATGGTCAATACGCTGCTTCTTAAAAGCATCTTCCCATTACCCCAATTGTCCTGGTATGTATTTACATGTCCAGTAAGTACACACAGAGAGGCACATGGACTAACTGGAACCGAATTCCCCACTACTGGTAGGCTTTAGTGGCCCCAGAGATGTCCTTGGGTTTACATATTTTACCATCATAAAACCTCCTATAATGCACAACAGCCACCCTAAGGTGGGAATGATTCTAAAAAGATTGCTGGCTCGTAGGGTGAATATTCCAGAAGCCCCTGAACCTCAGACTTGGGGGGATTTAAGCAACAGTTCCGGGTAGGAAAAAAAAGTTCTTTCCCAAAGACAGTTTCATGTCAAGCTGTAGAAACTTTTATTCTCCCCTAAAAGAAGCAACAATTTCCCAAGCTGCATAAATTTCATTTATTAACATAATCACAGGGCTATACTACCTTGTAAAAAGAAGTTGCAGCAATAGCTTAAAGTAATAAAGTAAAAATGTCAAAGATGTTACTATCCTAAATTCAATAACACACTACTAAAACATAAAAATCCGCGGCGCCCGTAGCTCAGTGGGTAGGACACGGGCTATATACACCAAGGGAGACAGGTTTGAACCCAGCCTGGGCCCGCTAAACAACGACAACTGCAACAAAAAAATAGCTGGGTGTTGTGGCGGGCGCCTATAGTCCCAGCTACTTGGGAGGCTGAGGCAAGAGAATCAGCTAAGCCCAAGAATTAGAGGTTGCTGTGAGCTGTGATGCCAAGGATGACATAGTGAGACTCTATCTCAAAAAAGTAAAATAAAAGTAAAAATCTTAGAAATATAATATAAAATATTGAGATTATTTTATGAAAATAATTATTTGGAAGTTTTAACTTTCATAGGCACAAAAAGTAATAAGAGACACTTTTCAAACAAGTTCTTGCCCTTTTCAAGTTAATGCTTCACATTCCACACTACATTAATAAGAAATCAAAATTATGATACTGATTTTTTTAGGTATTGTTACTACCATTACTACAGCCACCCTAAACTAGACAAGGGTTTCTTTTTTAGGGAAATACTGAGGTTGCCTGTGCACATATGTTATGTGTAAACGTCTTTTTTACATTTTTTTTAATATTTAATTATTGTGAGTAAAGAGTAGTTGTATATCTTTATAGAGCACATGTGATGTTTCAATACAGGCATACATGTGAATTAATCAAATCAGGGTAACTGGGGTGCCCAGCACCTCAGGCATTTATCGCTTCTTTGTGTTAGGAACATTCCAATTCTACTCTATAAGTTATTTTAAAGCATACCCTAACTTACTGTTGATTATATCCACTTTGTTGTGGTATCAAATTCATTCTATCTAACCATATTTTTGCACCAAGATACTTATTTTCATAACAAAAAAACCACTGAGATTTTATCAGCTATAATAAAATAATGCATATAAAATTTAGGATATAATTTAGTTTTAGGAAATAAAGTTTCTTTTCTATGTTATTTTGAAAAATGGTTATTTTGAAAGCAATTTTAAAAACTAAATATTGCTGGAACTCACACAACAAAAGTGCTTTCTAAACCACAATTTTGAAATAATAAGACTAAATTGGTAAAAAATATAACTTCTCTAAAATAATACTGAGAAGTCGTAAATCTAGGTTCAGATTTTTTCACAAATTTTCCAATGACATAAGGTGGGCAATAGTAACCTTTTGATTTTAAAAAAGTTAATTCAATAAAGACAAATTTATTAAAAATTTAATTTAAAATACTAAAAACAGACAAGTTCTGGCTGCCGATTTTCAGTTCACAAACAAGCTTTCCCATAGAAAGCTATCAGAAATCATTATTACAAAGTATTTACTACTAAGCAACTACCAGAGGGTAGTGATGCCTTTCATTTTCCTTTAAAGAAAGAAAAGTAAAACACCCACATATACTTACTTCAGAATCTATAGCACTTATACTCCTGATAAACATAAAATAATTGGGCTGGGTGTGGTTCACACCTATAATCTCAGCACTTTGGGAGGCCAAGGCAGATGGATTGCTTGAGTTCAAAAGTTTAAGACCAGCCTGAGCAACAATGAGACCCCACGTCTACTAAAATAGAAAAATTAGCCAGGCATTGTGGGGGGTGCCTATAGTGCCAGCTACTAGGGAGGCTGAGGCAGGAGGATTGCTTGAACCTAGGAGTCTGAAGTTGCTATAAGCTATGATGATGCTATGGCACTCTACCCAGGGTGACAGAGTAAGATTCTGTCTCAAAAAAAAAAAAAAAATGTAGTTCTAATAAGAAAAGTAAGTGCTCTGATTAAACACTTTGGTTTAAAGACAATATTACACACAAATAACCAACTTTCAACAATATTATACAAAAGAATTCACATGGCATTAATACTACATAATTCTATCTTAACATAATGGCCCAGTAAACACTTAGGGTTCTTACAGAGTCATTACTATAAACATTACCCTACATCACACAGGCCAATTTCACAAATCCAATTAATAAAAAATTCCTGATACCAGCAATGTTAATCAGGTCTAACATCATTACTTAAACATTTTCTCTAATCTATGCAAACAGTTCAACACCCAAAGTAACATATCTCACTAAATCCTCCTGAGGTAGCTAAGAAAAAAATGGTAATAATCCTATTTTCTAGCCAAAATTATGAAACACAGAGATATAATTTGGCATGTGGAAGTAAGCCAGCAACGGGTTACTTCAGTTTTCCTGTTGGGGAAGGCTCAAACAAATCTGAAGGCCTTCCCCCATGAGGTCCACAGGGCAGGACTGCTATGAGTAGTCACCTCCACTTTGTAGGGATTCATGTCACATACCTGAATCAGAGACCAATGTGAATACTCCCGCCTCTTCCTGTCCTTAGAACCTTCTGGTCAGTCAAATCTCCATTCATGTAATCTTCTCTGAGGACCCTTCCTGCTATTCTACTTCGATAGACATGATCATGGTTACCCTGTCTATTTCCTGTGTAGCACTTACCAACCAACTTAAATTACATTAATTCTTTACGCATTTATTGTAGGCAGTGTCATGAAGCAGACTTTCTTTCCCATGTATATGGCACTTGAACACTGCACCAATCATTTAGTAGATGTTCAATATTTATTTGTTCAATGAATGAACGGATTTCAGAGACCACTCAAATTCTGAGAAAGGATTTAATAGGCCCACAGTAATATCATAAAACAATACAATATTTATATTAAGTCATTCGATTTATTTCCCTTCCCTATGCTGGTAAGGTTTACTTTTAAATCTCCCTAGATTGAAACAGGAATCATTAGATTTTCTAGAATACATTTTAAAATTCTAACCTCTACACATATGTTTAAACAACAATACCTAGAGAAACAAACGTGATTCTTCTAAGGCCTAAAAGCAGAAGGGGAATGGAAATAAAACCTGAGGCTACATACATGCTAACTTATGAATGTTATTGTCAAATGTTATTGTCAAATGTATATATGCCTACCTCGTCTAGTATTTATAGGCCCACCACGCATAGCCAATACCAGCTTCAAGGTACAACCTTCTGAAATGCTGTGGATAGTTAACACAAAAATAAACCATAATCATCAAAACACATTCAATGTTAAATCTATACTGGTTTATCAGTCATAATGCCCATTTCTCTGAAATACAAAGATACCACAATGTGAATAAATATGTTAATGTACTTACTTGTATAAATAACAAAAAAAGTTCTCATAAGCCTTAAATCTGATGTGAAATCTCAGAATAAAAGTACTAGAAAGGCCCCCTGTCATCATGTGGTTTAGCCTTTTCACTTCCCATGTAAGCACAGGAGGCCCAGAGAAGAAAAGAAGCTTGCCCAAGACCCAAAGTGTTAAAAAACAGCATATCTGTTTAATAAAACAGAACACAGAAAAATGGCAAAACTACAAGGTCTTCTGATTTTTGGTGCTCTTTCAGCTATTCCAAATTGCCTCTCACTCTTTCCCTCTTTTCTTAACAAAAGAGTGTGATGAATTATGTGACAGGAAAAAGAAAGACAAGGAAGGGGAGTCTCAGGGCAATTTGCCCTTTCCCCCCAGGTTGGTTCACTGAAAAGATCAGCTCACAATTATAGTAGAGAAAGGTTTATTTCAAAATATCATACACATGGGGGGGAAGCACAAGAATGATTTCCCAAAGTTTCAGTGGCTTTTAAAGATGCCTTCTAGAAGGGAGTGGGGATAGAAACTGGAAAGTCTACCTGCAGCAAGTGGTTGCTGAGGAGGGAAACCGATTGATTAGTAAATTAACCTGAGAGACAGGTATCCAGCTTCAAATGACCTTAGGGCCAGTCTGTTAGCATGTGATTAGGAGTCTAGCAGCCCTTTAAGATTTTATGTAGGTAGATAGACAAAAGTCTTTCTTCAGAGTTTCCCAATTACGAATAGCCTTTAATCCAAAATAATCTTTACACCAAAGAAACATATTTTGGAGTGAAATTTTCTTAGCTCCTTCACCAAAAACTCAGAAAGTGTATCTGCAATCATTGGTACACAGAACATGGCTTAGTAGCAAAAGAGAGGGCTTAATGAGAAATCAAAGACTAGGTAGAGAACAATTCTTTCTTAATCCAAACCCCTGAGAAAATGGAAAGAAAAGGAATAAGCCGAGTAGGAATAGGTCAATATCTGAAGAAAGAACAAAGAAAGGGAAAAGACAGTAAGATTTTTTT